AGGACAAAAAACTCAAGTATTGAAAAAGGTTAGGTGGCAAAAGAAGTTTTCTTTTCAGATTTTAAAATGACATACACAAACGCTTAAGGGAGGGAAGCACAATGACTATTGAGCATAAGAGAATGGCACAGTCCTACGAAAATAGTCTTGGGAAGGCTGATGCAGAAAATCACCTAAGATTAATGGAAAGCACAAGGTAGTAAAATGAGAATGTAGGGATGGCTCTGTGGCAGAGCGGAAATGCGCTGATCAAGAGAAGCAGCATCCGACATGACAACCACAGTTCAAATCCCTGGCCAGATAGCCTGAAACACACCAAGAATGTGCATGAGTGCCAGTGGGCTAGCGGATGGGGGACAGAGTGGCCAGAACTTCTGGAGGGTGTTCATCTCTCTCTCTCTCTCTCTCTCTCTCTCTCATGAGATACACACACATGCACTCTATCATGAATAAAGAAAAAATGAGAATGGACTTGCCATTAAAATTTTTACTATTCTTATTTTAATGAATTGGCTCATTATTATTTTAAATGAAAAAAATATATAGATATAACAATTAGAAAGTGAAGCTCATCACACATAATCATACCCTTCCAGAAAGTGAACAATTTGGTATATCTCTGTCCACAACTGTTAATGTATATTGCTACAGTGTGAAAGTGTCCTCAATTTATGGGCCATAATCTTAATTCCCAGTGCAAGTGTGAGGAGATGGGACCTTTTGGAAGGTGTGTAAGTCACTACAAAAAGGGTTTAGGGGAGTGGGTTCATTTTCTCTCACCCTTCCACCTTCCATGTGAAAATGTACTCAGAAGGCTTTCACAAGATACCAGAGTATTGCTCTTTAACTCCCAGACTTTGTAAATGTGAGAAATAAATTTCTATTCTTATAAACTACTCAGTTTCATGCATTCTGTTATAGCAGCGTAAATGGACTGAGAAAAAAACACAACAAATGGACTAAGACAAAAATGCAAACATTCCTTTTCCCCTAAAATAAAAGACATGGACTCAAAAATTAAACATATAATTATATCACATATATGCATGTTTTACTTACAAATAGACCATGTACAGCTCTATTACATTCTTTTTTTTTTTTTTTTTTTTGAGAGGTTTTTGCTATAGGGCGTGTGCGCTCGCCAGACAGAGAGAGACAGAGAGACAGAAAGCGAGAAATCACCCCCCAGGGGGGATGGCCATGCCGCAATCCCTTCTTCTCCATTCTCCTCTCAGGGTCTTGGGCACGCACGCACACGTGCCCAGCGAGGGTTTTAAGCCACCGGGTCCGGGACGTGAACCACGGTCGACTACGTGGGAGTCCAGCGACATAGCCATTACGCTAACTGCTGGTCCCCCTGCTCTATTACATTCTTTTACTACATGATTAATATGAATGTTCAGAGTTATTCGACCAACTATTACTGAGAAATTTTTAAGTTATTTCTAATTTTCAAGAAATTATTAACAATGATTAATATAATATCTTCATACATATATTATATATATATATATATCTGATTATTTTTCATGGAATTTCTGGGTCAAAATTTAAGTTGATAGATTTTCTAGTCAGAACAATTTTAACAATTCAATGAATGTACGTATGGACCAATCTATTTTCTTATTGATTGATATATCTTCCTATAGGTTTTATAGCCTACTCAATGATCTTCATCCAGCCTTCTTGTATGTTCTATTCTACTCTTCCAATACCACTCTATTTGAATTAAAGTACTTTTATAGTTTTTTGATTTTTAATTTAACAGGTAAAGTACCATAATATTAGTCATCTTTTTCAAAAATTTATTTCAGAAACTCTGAAGGTTTCAAATTTTTTAAATTACTAGAATTACTAGAATTTTAATTATAACTACACTAAATGTATAAATTAATTTGGAAATTATATAGATATATTATTATGGTTAAGTCCTCCCATCTAGGAGTATGTTATTCTCTATTCAAGCCTTCTTTGCAAAATTTTAATGTAATACAGTTTCATACTAGATTTTTAAATCTTGTCCAAAAACGGAAGATTTTTAAACTAGTATTAAAAGCGAGAAAAATAAGATTTCTTACAATGTAGGCAGATAAAATAACATGAAAAGGGGTGGAAAGAGAATAATATTTAATGAGCAAATACTATGCCCCACATATGATACTAGCAAACATTTTTGCAAGCCATCTCGTTTTATTTTATAAGTCTACTTGTGACTTATAACAGAGGTGACTCTTACCACCATTCTACAGAAGACAACACTGAGGCTCAGGGTCAATAATCTGCCCAAGGCTTCGTAACTGTCCATGACTTAAGACGCGACCTTGAGCTGGCCCTGTCACACAGCAGTTAAAGCACTATGTGGAGGGAGCCAGATCCCAAACAGCCAAGTGCAGTTCAAATCCAGCTCTGGCAGCTTGAAAAACATGCTGAGCTTCTACACATGTATTCAGGATCTTGACAGGAAGGAAGAATGGAGGAAAGAGGACTGAGGTGTGACCATGCAGCAAGCTTGCATTCTCTCTCTAACATAGACACATACCTTCTGGCATTAAAAATAATCATATTTTAAAAGACAGGGATCCTGTCTTTGTGTTAATACTGTCAACTGAACTGAGCAGATTGTACAGCTGTCAAATTGGGGGTGTCTTCTGTTTTACGTAACAGTATCTCATTTATCCAGATATGCCTATGTCATGAATGAGAAAACCCAGGCTTAGGCATCAATTGTATAAACTTGCTGAAAGTCACAATATAAGTACACAGACCATCAGGGTCCAAATGCAGTTTATTCTGACTCCACACAGTTCACATTCTCAGCTCTTACACATAATTGTAGTATATAAGAGAGTCAGGATTCAAACTCAGGGCTTCCTAATTTCCACTGTATCATAGTAAAATAACTCAGTCTTACTTTGTTTCTGTATACGCTGATCGGAGAATGAGTCAGAAAAGATTGTAAAGACTGTATCTAACTTCTATAGAAAATAAATTTAAACCTTACAGCTTGAATAAAATTTTGTCTAACTAATAAAAGTTTTAAATTGAGATTGCCAAAACTGAGATTACTAAGAAGTCACCAAAAATAAGAAATCTGCCCAAAGAAAAAGAAAAATGTCATTCTGACTTGTTGAAAGGAAAAGTATGAGGGGGTTCCATGCTATAAGGGAACCAGGATCAGGTACAAAAACATACTAGAACCAAGTGGCACCAAGGAAGTCTGTGGGGTAGGGAAACTGCAGGGGGAGAGTGAGGGTATAAAAAAGACCTAACGGGACCAGCAGTTAGCATAATGGCTATGTCGCTGGACTCCCATGTAGTCGACCACGGTTCGAGTCCCAGACCTGGTGACTTAAGACTCACGCCGGGCGTGTGTGCGTGCGTGCCCAAGATCCTGAGAGGAGAATATAGGAGAAGGGATTGCGGCGTGGCCATTCCCCCAGGGGGTGATTTCTCGCTTTCTGTCTCTCTGTCTCTGTCTTTCTGGCGAGCGCATGCACCCTATGGCAAAAACCTCTCCAAAAAAAAAAAAAAAAGAAGACCTAACTCCGTTGCAGAATGGGAAGGA